CGCCGGGGGGCGCGCCGCCGCCGGGCGGCCCCGGGGGGGGCGGGCCGTGGTGCTGAAGGGACAGCTCCCGCCGCGCCGGCCGTGGTGCTGAAGGGACAGCGCCGGCCGCCAGCGCCGGCCTCCCCCCCTCCGGTCGGGAGACCTCCGCGCCTCGTTGCTTCCTCTGAAAACACATCATGCAAGAGCTGTTGGGACGGGAGCAGGAAGAAGTGAAAGCCTCCCGTGCGAGGCGAAGCGCTGGGATTTGGTCAGCTCCCACCGTTCCTCTAATCTGCGGCGTTTGGCTTTTGTTAGAGGGTGGTAAGGGGTGGTTGCTCACTTGTCAGGCTGAGTACTAAACAAAGACGCGAGGGCTGATCAAGTAAATGGAAACCGTTTTTTTCACCTGTGACACAATGCTTTTTTCCTGCTTCCCAGGTGCAATGTTGTTTTTTGTTCTATTCTTTGAACTGACCCAGCAAAACAAAGTATTAAACAACCACAGGTGCTACAACATTTGATGACTCTGCTCTTAAAATCCAATAGCAGAAGAAAAAATACCCTGCTTTCACAAAGTTTTGGTCGTGTTTGAATTCTGTGAAAGTTTTTAGGTGATCAAAAAGAACTAATAAGCTGCTCTTGGCTCTCACCTGTTGCTGAGTTTATTTTGGGATTGTACTCTCTTCAGAGTTAGCTAGTATAATTTCCTATCCATTTCCAGTTACACAGCCATTTCTAGTTACACAGCCAAAATGATGACAAAGACAGATTTAATCAAGTTCTCCATCCAGCTATTTGTCTTTTATGAGATATGCTATAGAATACGCTGCAGAGTTCATCAAAAGGCTGGATACGATGAATGAAAACATGAACTTCTGAAAATAAAAGGTAATTCCTAGGATTCTCACTAAGTTTTAATGCCCTTTTCTACAGGTTTATAAGAGTGAGTAAAATGCTTCTGTGTAAGCAGGTGTCAACACTGTCTAAATGTGTTATTGGTATGGATATCACTCCATCATTTAGGCCTTAAAGGGTGATAGTCATACTTGATTTAACACCACTGAGCTCTAGTAAACACTGAATATTTCTGGAGGCTTGTGCAGAATGTAAAGAACTGAAAGCTGTTTATGTCACCCTAAAATGAACTGAAACAACAAACAGATTGAGGATTTTTATTTATTTATTTTTTCCTGGGAAGTGACTGTAAGGAGAGCAAAATTCAGAAAGTGTGTGCTGTGAATTCTTAGTCTCTTTTTCTAGCTTTTAGGCCTTTGTATTCAGTCTCAAACCTACTACAAGCAGTGATTGAACTATCCTGGTGAACAGAGACAAAATATTTTTTAAGAATGTGGTACACCACCTGTAATGGTGAATGGAATATCCTCCTATTGACAGCTGTTTGGCTACTGAGTAGCTAAACACTCAGGAACTGTCTACATCCAGATGAGGAGATTGCATACTTCGGGCAGATGGAGGCCTGACAGGGAGTTTGAACCTGCATTAACGAACTAAGCAAACACATGTTTAAATCCATTTCAGGATAGTAGTTAAGTCTCCATATCCTTTCTCTACATCACTTCACCCTTCTGTAAAATGGGTATAAAAATACCAAGGTGGTAGTGTTGCGATGTCTCTAATTTGGGTTAGAAAAAGACATAAGTGTTTTTACGTGTCAATTACTTTGTCAGTATTGCTTCTCCTTTAAGATCAGCCTCTGGTGTTTTGAGTCCGCTCTTGTTTTTTGATGGGTGGTAATATTTAAAGGCAGTCCATTGAAAAGCTTTGAGTAGGGTATCATGGCAGATGGACAATTTGCAATGGAAAGAAAGAAAAAAAAGGAAGAAAACAAGACATGGAAAGAGAAACGTAGAGAATAAAGACACCAGTGCTTTGGTCAGTTAACTGCTACATTCATGACTTGCCAGGACCATGAAGGCCATATCTCATAAACAAATAAGCACAGAGTAGATTAAAGCCCCTCTATTATTAATAAACTCAGGTGAAAGTAGAGAGCAAGATTTTCTGGTGATGAGAATGCTTGTAGATGCACTGAAGTAATGAATCTGTTCATTCACACCATCTGAAGCTTCAGCGGAGGATACT